GTTCGAATGCCGGTGGGGGCGGATGTTTGTGTGATGAATACGAGCATTTGTACTCCAGTCATGGATGTTTGATATGTATTTCTATATAAATATACTTATATATGTACAGTATATGTATTGTATTCGTTACCCTAGTATCCCATAACACAAGCCTTATAGAGCTTACTTTGGGGCTAGGCTAATTCGTGTGTGTTGATAATATTTATTTATTTATTTTCAACTCATTTGCTCAAGAAATGCACTTACGAAGGTTGTATAAATTGTTTGAAAGTTCAAAATTACGGGCCATGCAGTTGAGCGTGCGGTAAAATTCATTACGCATGCTCCCATACATGGCACCGTGCGTATTCATTACGGTTTTTTTAATTTCAATCGAACCTCCTCTGAAGCGCTCTTAGTCTGTACTATGGGGCTTAACCTGAAGGGAAACCCTGGGGACGTAGCTTTCTACAGCTATATATGATAATCTCGAAACGTTTTACTTCTTTTATTTAAGCTCAGAGAAAATAAGATAATCTTTCTATCAACCTATTGAGTATGTGGCTGAATTCTATCTCTCAGAATGTTCGATATGCGACAAAAGAGTCAAAAAATATTGAAATATTTAAAATAATAACTTATTTAACATTTACTATTTAATAAAACTGCGAGCCGTAGGTATGACATAATCAAAGAGTTTATACAAGCAAGGAGGCCGTAACGCTAAGGGCGATACATCCCTCTCTTGCTGTTTAAAAAAATATTTGGTCATATCAGATGACCGAGAATTTTGTTTTTTCTACCTCCTACATCAGGAACATTCGATAACCCTACCTAAATTTTCCTACCTGCTTGAGGACGTCAATACAACTGGGTGGCGGCCTTTACTACAACCCGCAAAAAAGTTTACGGAACTTCTTGCAAAAAAAAATACTGGACTGGACTTCCAACAGTTTGCAAAATTTATTGCAAAAACTTCACGGTTGTAAAACCTCAACAAACACACCCGATCACAAACTTTTACCTCTTTTTGATACGCTTATTCCTATTAACCTAAAATTTAACTTTTACCAAACCTTAAGATTTTGAAGTTATACTTCTTTAGCCGCGTTATGAAAAAATTATGAGAGTGAAATTTTAAGATGCGCGCGCATCACTGTAACACAAAAGTAACATAATGAAGTTAGCCGCGGGCGCGTTATGAAAAAATGATGAGAGTGAAATTTTAAGATGCGCGCGCATCACTGTAACACAATAGTAACACCATGAAGTTGGCCGCGGGCGCGTTATGAATGTTAGTGTCTAATAATGGTGGATTATTAACCACTTAGTGGTTAATAATCCACCATTATTAGACATCTGTTCGAAAGGTACTTTGAACGATCCACGGAGCTCCATAAGATGATCGCGTTGTCAAAAACAATGTTGGCACGCTCGTCGCCTCTGATCACTGTTTTCATATTTATAATATTTATCCACATGTTTCTAGTTTCTATATAGACACAACGTGTTTTAGTTACTTACAAGTGCTAATTACATATGGACTAATAACTTAAATTCAGTAGTGATTTTAATTGAATATTTTGAATATTTATTTAATTTTTCAAATTAAAACTGAACTTAATTGACTGTGTTAACTATCCTTTTCCAGTCCTTTTATTATTTTATTGTAATTATTAATTATTTGCATGCAATTAAAAAATATTTTTAATGATGCTGAAGAAGTGTAAGTTCTCACGCGCGTACATAAGTTACACGCATCCATTTTTTTATATTTTGGTATACGTGGGACACTCAGAAAGTTTTGAGAAACTAAAAAACCAACTTCTATGAAAAAATACTTTTATTAAATCTTTTCAAAGAACTTTCCACCAGCCTCTATGCAGAGTTTCATACGTCTGAAGCAATTTTAAAAAGGCAGACACCTCTTTCACGGCCTTCTCAAACGCTGCTTCTTCCGGCGATGAAAACTGTATCCCTTTGAGCTGATTTTTTAAAAAGAAATCACATTGAGCCAAATCAGGGGTGTAAGGAGGGTGTCCCAAGACTCTGACTGGTGTGGAGTCCAGGAAGTCCTTCGTTTGGATTGCAGAGTTCGCGGGCGCGTTGTCTTGGTGAAGAAGGACCCCGCGGGGCCCGGTGTTAGGTCGCTTGTTGCTCATTGCAGAAAAAAACTTCTGGCAGGCATTTTGTGCCATTCTGGTTCTGGTTTGTTGCCATTCGGCGTTGATGCTGCTTTGGTCTCGAAGTGAAATTTTTGAGCTTCGGTGAGATTGTGCGGCACCCAGCGGGAAACTATAATCCTTACGCAAAGGTGCTCGTGCAAAATCTTGTAAACACTTTCTGAACCAATCTGCAGAGTATGCTGAATCTCTTCGTACGTAATTCGTCTGTTTTCTTGAATTAAATTTTTTTCTGCCAGCACGCTTTCTTTGCTGACAGCCGTCGTAGGACGACCACTCTTTTGTTCATCCCCCAAAGTAAGACGACCGCGTTTGAACTCGCTACACCAGCGGTCGATGGTTGCCTTTGAAGGTCCTTCATCCATTAAAGCAGTTCGAAATCGATCAAATGACTCATCAAGTTTTACGCCACATTTAAAATCGTAAAAAATCATAGCACAAATTTTTTTCGATGCAGATCAATATTTTTGGCTCTCAAAAAATGCGGAGGGATGTTTGAAAATCGAACAGTGGTATTTTTACTTTTAAATAATAGAAGTTTTCAAATTAATAACAAGTGGCCAGTGTCTTATACATAAAACTTTTTGTGGCCTGTTACTAGATAGGTGTAGAATAGATGCACACCTTTTTCACATTATCGCGTGAAATCCATCTATCTGTGACTCTGCAAACATGTCTGATGCACTACAAAAGCATTATTGTACTGCACACGCAAGTCGCTGTATGTCCTCTGCGTATAGTCTACCCACAGGCTGCTTGTGTAAAAAGACTGACAATATGCTTTAAATAGTGTGACTTTAACCTGATTAGTACAATGTGCGAACCTGCGGGCGATCATATTGCATCTAACAGCCGTAACATATAGACATAAGCGATGTTCTTCATATTGTTAATTTTGAAATCATTATTTTTGCACTTTAATTAATTCCAATTTCAGTGTCTGTTGGAGGGACCGCAGGCCTGTTCGTCGGAGCGAGTGTGCTTAGCTTCGTAGAATTATTTTTTTTCTTCACAATTCGTTTGGGAAGCGATTTATTTACTAATAAGCTAAAACGCCGAAATAAACGTGTAGTGCGATTCAAATCTAGGGCAGTAAACATAGATAGAGATAGACCTTTGGACAAATTCAATGGGACACAAAAATTACCCTATCCTAACAGCGATGTTATCTCATCGACATTCAGTTACAACTATAATTACAATGTCTCGTATATACATCCGGAAAGACGTCAAAAAAATAATTTACTACAATTCCATACTCATAAAATTTAATTTCTTTCTCTCTAAGTAAATATTTTCTTACACATGAAAATGTTAAGATTTCGAAAACACGTGCAGCATTAAAAATATCTCATTTATTTTTAAATTTTAGTGTTTATTTTTATTTCTGATAATATTTAAAATTACTAATTTACGCGCTGTCCGTTTCGGTCTCCTTTCAAAAGAGTTTTATCAAACAAAGGATATTGTGATTACATAATAAACAATAAATAACTCGTGTTCTTGGACAAACAAACTCGGTATTGTATAAGGCGGTTATTCCGCTGGTGACATCTCGTGTGGCTCACACTTAATAAAACATAAACAGAAGCGAATCAAATGAGGTTTGATGACTACAGAATGAAGCACACAACACGCCATCCAGTCGGCTCTGGAAGTGGCCCAGTTTCTTCAACAGGAAGTCGCCCGTTAGGAGTGACTGATGCAATGCTTCTATAATATATCTTGTGCCTACTAAACATCAGCGTGTGATCTTTATTAACCGACTGCAACAAAGAGGAGCTCCTTAATAAGTCTGTTTTTTTTAATAAAGCTTCATCCGCACATCAATGTATTCATGTATTACAAAGATTTTACACGCTGAACAAATTTTATCGTCTATAATTACAAAAGAGTATCGTACACCAGTTGGGTCCATGGAAATATCATTATGTTTTGTGGTTAACTTTAATAAAAAAAAAGGCGCTGCTATCCCGCATAAAACCTTCTCCAAAACAAACTCCCTTTAAAGTATGATTTCTGGGATAAAAACCTTTCCTTGTCCTTTCCCAGGATTCAAACTATCTCTGTAACAAATTTCATCTATATTGGTTAAGCGGTTTAAGCGTGAAGAGGTCGTAAAGAGGTGAAATTTTCACATTTATAATGTTATTTGTATGGATAAAAGTTTTTGCATTTCACAAAGAAAACTCCGCAAAATTTACTTTTTTATCCTTGTTCAGTAGCAGCGCTTACACAAATAAATGTTCTTAAAAATTTTTCGCCGCAAAGTTAACGATATACATAGTGCAATTCACTGAATTCAATTAAGTCTTTATTAAATCACACTATTCAACTTAATAACATGGAAAGTTTAATGATTTTTTTTTTATATTTTTTCTGGTGAATTTAAATTAAATAATAAAAGAAATTTAATATTTAAGTAATTATTTTGATAAAATACTTATGTAAGTTTTATGTAAAGTAAAGTTATAACAATCGAATAGTTAAGTAGCTAGTTCTTTACTTTTTATTCAGCTCATGTCAATTCCGAATGTTTTCTAACCATTTATATCATTTATTATATAGGTAGGTATGCACTGTTAATGTGTGAAGCGTAAAAATAAACAACACAAATATTCACATGTCTTATTTAACAATCACAAAAACTATTCTAATAAAAATGTATTAATATTCGTATATTATTTAATATAAGTACATACTTAAAAATTCTATTGTTTCCTTTTTCCTTTATACTTCTTATCAAAAACTATGCATGAAACCATGTAAATAAACCCATGAATCCATACATTAGGATCCATCCTCTTAAAATTAATTAAAGTCTACTGTCCCGGTCAGTATTGCTTCATGTGCCCGGAGTATCAGGTGCGCCTCATCAACAACCACCGGTTGCAGTGACCGTGCAGTTGCAGCCGCCGATATCTCATGCAATGCCACTGAGGGATTTGCTGCATGCGCCGTAGTGCCTCTAACTGGGAACAAAAGAAAATACAGTTTACCTGCCCCCCAAGCTTTTCCCCTTAAAACTATGAAATTAATTCAAATGTTAAACTTCTGTGACTGGGCTACGTCTGGTATTTATTAGAGCAGAAATAAACTTTATGAATTGTACCAATTAAGGAAATACGATCACTCTCAAAGTTTTATTGGTTATGTTAAGAGGTTCCTCAAAAACATTCAAAAGGGTATTTGCAACAGCCAAATCCAATTACATAAAAAATAAAATCTTATAATAAAATCAAAACGACATGAAATGTTATTAAAAGAGAAACTGGCAAAGAAAGAACCCTCGATGATGGGATCGCACTTAAAGTATTTGCCAACGCATTTAATGAATATTTCGTAAATATACCATTAATTACTACTTCTAATTTGATAATGTTGATTTTATGGATATTATAGTATACTTTAATTCACTTAAAAAGAAAAATACGTGTGATTTATTTGGAATATCTATTAAGTTCGTTAAAAGTATAATAACAGTTATCGCTCCATTTCTTGCAGATATATTCAATAATTCTATTCATCAAGGTGATTTTCCAGACCTTATAAAATATAGTAAAGTTATCCCTCTTTTCAAAAACGATCGAGACGATTTCAATAGAGGATCAGAGATGATCCCGGTAATTACTTGCTATTATCGTGTCTCAGTTTCCGAGTTCAAACTGACCGAGGTAAATGGTGTTAAGTCATCTGGATCATAAGTGAAAATGTGAGTTCCACAGGGATCGATTTTAGATCCGTTTCTATTTTCATTGCACATAAATAATTTGCCATTTTTTGTGGAAAATTTGTGTGAGATCGTATTTTTTTAATTTTTTATTTATGATCAGGTTACATAGGCCCATTAATAAATACCTTATAGTCTAACATACATACAGATATAAAACATTATGATTTTGACTGATGCTTCACAATTCATTTATAATTGTGGACATTTTATTCGAAGCAATATTATCTCAGACACAGTGACATCATCATCATCAGCCTATTAATGTCCCCACTGCCGGGGCACAGGCCTTCCCTATGGATGGAATAGGGAGACTGGGCCATGATCCACCACGCGGGCCCAGTGCTGATTGGTGGGTGCTAATGGCTGCAGATGCAGCCGGCTTAACGTGCCTTCCGAAGCACGGAGGAGCTCGAGATAGTAAAATTTTTGGTCACCCATCCAACCGACCGACCACTGCGACAGTTGCTTAACTTCAACGATCGCAGCCGAACGCGCTAACCACCTGCGCCATCGAGCTCCTCAGTGACATACATTCTTTTAATAAAAGGAATAAATATAAAGTCAAGATACCAACTTAAAGGTTACAGAAAGTTCATAAATCATTTATGGGTCAAGATGTACATTTCTATAATAGGATTCCTAACGATAATCTTGTTTTGCCTCTTCATAAATTTAATATACACATTAAGAATTGCTTACTTAAGAAAGGATATTATTTGAATGTTAAAACAGCCTGGTTGTAATTTTACCTGAGATAATTTGTTGGTGATTGATTGATGATTTGGTGATTGTAATTATACCATGTATATAATTTTTCAAAAGTTATTAAAACTGGGGACCTTAAAATGAGTTTTGAAGAGAACCTTGCACTTACTCCCTTACATATACCTGTTTAATTTGTTTTGAAGATTGTTTCTTGCTATTTTGAGACTTTTCCTTACACTTATTGTTAGTAAATTCGTTGATTGTCTATTGTTACCTTTTTGACATTATGTGATGGAAGTTACTCAACACATGTTTGCCAGTTTGAAGACAACTTTCAATTTAACGACACTGTATGAAATAAAACAGGCAGAAAAAAGCAGCCCTTGCTGAGTTTCTTGTCAGTTCTTATCAGTACAAGGTCCCCCCAAGGCTGTAGTTTTGCGATCCGATGGCGTAGTTATCGACTTTCACATGTGCTTGTAAAAGCCTAAACTGAATAAATGATTTTTGAATTGAATTAAATTGGAATATGTGGGTAAGGGTCAAAATTATTGGGTTTATTATAAGTTTGTCAGCTACTACTAATGAGGAAAATATAGATGACTAAACATTGGTTGAATTTAAAATAATAGGCTTTAATAAGTTCGTATATTCTCTTCCCTAACAATTGTATTACTTATCCCTGTGAATGAATGTGTATTTTCACACGATACTTATGAAAGTACATAATTATTAATAAAATTAATCTTTCTGGGTCATCTCAGAACTACAAAGGCATAATATCCTTAATTTTAAACACATTTAATTATGCAAATGAAATTGAACTTTAACAAAGAGATTTTAAAGGATTTTTTTTTCATTCTAAATTGACCTTTTTTGTAATCAAAATTTGTAAGTACGGGTAGTAAGTAGTAAGGGTTATGTTGTTGAAAAACTGATTAACAATTTATGAAATTACTCACATAATCCATGTTACCGCCTCGAAATGGATAAGCTTCACTAACAATAGTATAACAAAATACAATCGCGAAGATAAAACACACAAATCTCATTTTCATTTTTGTGATAATTAAAAATGTAATCCCTTCTTTATCCCTAATCCAGGTGCGGACGTCAGATCAGGTCCGAGCTTTCATGAAGTATGCCTGGATAGATAGGCATTCCACTCATTTATATGTGAGCGACCGCCTACACACTTTCTTCCCGACGTTTTAATTACAATTAGGCCACGTTCTCTAGAACAAGTACAGTGTATCCCAAGTTTTCGCTGATTTCATATATATTTAAAAGAAATCTACTCCTTCATTTCATTAATTAAATGAAACATTAAAATTTTACGGGTTCTATATACTTTATTCAATTTGACTTATTGAAAACTCTTTTGTATCGTCCAATATTTTTCCTACCTTATAAACTTATCAGCATTAAGAGAAGTAGCAACATTAACATAAAATCATGTCGCTACCAATACAATTAATTAGATACAATAATTATGTTTTGCACCGTTACATTTAAATTTACTGACGGAACATCACATTCTGAAAATAACTGAAGGATACTGATGTTGCTGTTTCATTATCATTCAGAAGCCTTATTTGTTTCACAACATATGCCGCTAAGTCTAATTAGGCTCAATCTATTTTCTTACTCTACGTTCAATGTATTTACCTATATATTTTTTAAAATACAGTAGACCCGCTGTAATCCAGAACCCGTCTAATCCGACGCCCCGTGTAATCAGACACGCTTATAACTGTTGATTTGCACAAAAAAACAATTAAAATAGATATTTAGAATTGTAATTTGTCGGATTACAAGCTAATTATAGTGAGTGGTCTTAGGCAAATCAATCTCTGCAATCCGGCAAATTCGATGATCCGACATCGCCATCAAAACGTTTGTCGGATTACCGCTTATTAACATTCATAGTTATCAAAAGAAATAATTCCATTTTTGAAATCTATTGTTACAAAAATAAATGTACAATTGAAATTAAAAACACTGTCATGAATCATCACCGCTTAAAATGAAGTCGACGTTTGTAATTAAACGTTATAAATTGGTCTGGTCCATCCCATCAGCACTGGTTATAATAAAAAAAGTCATTATGACGCGCCACTCATTAAAGCTATGTCTTATTTTTCTTCATTTGCGATAAAAAGAACAATAGCCTAGATAGAGATCTTTTGTAGTCACATCAATATAGACACTCCTCTTTGAATGGAATCTAAATAGGGCGGGCGATCTTAACAATTCTTATAGAAATTCTATGTCCAAATGAACTAGAAGATGTAATTTGATTAGTTACTTTGCTCGATCTGTATTTTATGTTGTTTAAATATACATTTAATCATCATTCATGTTGATGAATAGACATAGACATGCAAGCCAGGCTTCCTAGCTATCTGTGAGGGATCTTGGAAATCTGTATTTTTTTTTTGCTAAATGAAAACCTCTTTAGAAGCGTTGGGCATTTTTGAGTTAGTTAACGACACCTCTGTAAGTACATACTTACGAAGTTGTTCTTACCTACATAAATACTTACACAGAACACAAAAAGAGGTTAGCAGGGTGATCAGAGACCGTTTGTACGGGAACCGATGTCGCCGCCTCGCCCCCACTATTCCACCTAGTAGATAATATCCCAATCAAACGACGCGACATCACACAATCAGCGTTCTGTGAGTACTTACATATATTTTAATTTTGGTGGCTTGGTCTAATGCAACAAACGTTACTTTGAATGCAAGAGGTCTTAAGTTTTCGAATCCAACACGCATAATATATATGATTTTATGTAATTTGAGCAGCCCAACAAGATAATCTGACCAGTCGCTCATCGCTGAACATAATGCTGCATAATGCTGGGACTGCATTGAGCGACGCCTAAAGACAAAAATAGATGGAAGAACATAGGCCAAGAAATAAATCTTCTTTGTCTACCCTCAGTAATGAAGAATACAGCGCAAGGAGTGTATTATAATAAATAGATCTAGTCATTTAACAATATATTTGTGTACTATATCGAGGCGTCAATCAAGATCTAATCCATAATTAATACTAATATTATAAATGTGATTTTATGTTTGTTACTCAATCACGTAGAAACAACTAAACGATTATGGATGCAATTTGGGACGTACATACTTTATGACCTGGATTGAGACTTTTTGGAGATAGGATCCTTTTTATCCTGAAAATATCAAGTTCATTATCAGGTGTCCAAAAAACTAAAGTTAACACGGACGAAGTCGCGGGCGGGTCTAGTAAATGAAAACAGTTTTTGTTAGTGTTTTTTATTTGAATCGCTTTATTAATATACCTAGTTACATAATATTTATAGGAATTGGATCGGTATCGGCATCGCGTTTCCTTTGAAAACTTTTCCTTTTAGTTACCGCTTTGTACAAAATAACACGGAAATGTTTTGTACAGGTTGGTTGGTGCTTTTGAGATGTAACTTAACTAACCTAACTACCTAGTTCCTGGATTGTTTAAACTACGGAGAATAGGATGAGTATTATT